CTATTAGGTGCAGCTGAGATTCTCCCCAGGTCATCTGACCAGTCAGTTCTGTACCAGTCTTTAAGAGGAAAAGATTTATTGTTCTTGTCCATAAAACAGAGGGCCAAACAATTGATGCTTTCCATCTGTGGTGCTGGAGAAGACTCTTGAGAGTCACGTGGACAGCAAGGAGATCAAACCTAATGGAATCCAACCCCGAGTATTCACTGGAAGGACTGATGCTGAAGCTGAAGCTCCAGTACTTTGGCCACCTGGTATGAAGATCCGACTCACTGGAAAAGACCCTGATGCTGGGAAAGACTGAAGGCAGGAGGAGAGGGGATGGCAGAGGGTGAGGTGGTTGGATGGCATCACCGACTCAATGGACATGAGTTTGGGTGAACTCCAGGAGTTGGTGAAGGACAGAGGCACCTGGCGTGCTGCAGTCCGTGGGGTTGCAAAGAGTCGGACACAACTGAGCGACTGAACAACAATAAAGTTCCCCAGAGATGTCTGCACGTACACGGCAAGCAGTGACTCATCTTGACCCCTTCCAGGACTGAGGAAGGAATGTTATCTTCTGAGGAGCCGCATGGCTGGCTCCAGAAGGAGGAAGGTTGATCTTGATGGTGGAGCAAGTATTTCTGCCTTTGGGGAGAGGAGGTCAACCCAAAGTGCCAGGGCACAACACAGCAGTGGGCGGGGAGGAGGCCGAAGGGCAGAGGACAGGCTCTCTGTCTGCTCTCTTGTCTCGCCTGACTTAGAGTGTGGGTGCTCATCTCATGGGTCGTTAAAGCTTACTCGTGATGGGGCTTTTCATGTTCTTGCCTTAGTGCTCATGGGTGGAATCAGGTGAAGCACTCTCTTTGTGGTTGTTGATGTTTGGATTGCCTGGGTTTTTTTTTCAGATCCGTTCAGTTCAGTCGCTCGGTCATATCCCACTCTGCAACCCCACGGGCTGCAGCACGCCAGGCCTCCCTGTCCATCACCAACTCCCGGAGCCTGCCCAAACTCATGTCCGTTGAGTCAGTGATGCCATCCAACCATCTCATCCTCTGTCGTCCCCTTCTTCTCCCGCCCTCAATCTTTCCCAGCATCAGGGTCTTTTCCAATGAGTTAGTTTTTCACATCGACAGCCAAAGTATTGGAGCTTCGGCTTCAGCATCAGTCCTTCCAATGAATAGTCAGGACTGATTTCCTATATGATAGACTGGTTGGATCTCCTTGCAGTCCAAGAGACTCTCAAGAGTCTTCTCCAACACCACAGTTCAAAAGCATCAGTTCTTTGGTGCTCAGCTTTCTTTATCGTCCAACTCTTACATCCATACATGACTACTGGAAAAACCATAGTTTTGACTAGACGGAACTTTCTTGGAAAAGTAATGTCTCTGCTTTTTAATATGCTGTCTAGGTTGGTCATAACTTTTCTTCCCAGGAGCAAGTGTCTTTTAATTTCATGGCTGCAGTCACCATCTGCAGTGATTTTGGAGCCCAAAAAAATAAAGTCTGACACTGTTTCCACTGTTTCCCCATCTATTTGCCATGAAGTGACGGGACCGCATGCCATGATCTTAGTTTTCTGAATGTTGAGCTTTAAGCCAACTTTTTCACTCTCCTCTTTGACTTTCATCAAGAGGCCCTTTAGTTCCTCTTTGGTTTCTGCCGTAAGGGTGGTGTCATCTGCTTATCTGAGGTTCTGATATTTCTCCTGGCAATCTTGAGTCCAGCCTGTGCTTGCTTAGATTCCTTCGTTCCTTCCTGCCCGAGCTGGGTCTCTGTTGCTGCGCGTGGGCTCTCTCGGGGCAGAGATGGCGCTGTGGCCCTGGGCTTCTCACTGCAGTGGCCTCTCCTGTCTCGGAGCGCAGGCTCGCAGGCTCAGCAGTCACCGCCACGGGCTTAGCGACTCCGAGGCACGTGGCGTCTTCCTGGATCAGGGACTGAACCTGTGTCCCCTGCATTCGCAGGCATGTTGTTAACCACTGCACCTCCAGGGAAGCCCTGGATTGTCTTGAACTAAGCATTTCTCCCCGCACCCCGCAATCAGAAACATATTCTCCTGTAGTCTCTGTGTGTGTGTGTCTGGCCACACCTTCCCGGCGGGGACGGGACCCGTGCTCCTGCGGGGAAAGTCAGAGCCGTGACCACTGGACTGCGGGGATGTCCCTCTCCGTGGGCTCAGAAAAGAGCGCTGGCCCTGTTCAGCTTCTCCTTCCTACACCCAGAAACTCTAGCGCTGACGAAGGCTCCCGGACCTAGCAGGCACTGGCCACATCCGCACTCAGTTGGCAGTTGTCGCTGCTTCGTCGCTCAGTCATGTCCGGTCCTGGCGACCCCTTGTGCTGCAGCCCGCCAGGCTCCTCTGTCCATGGGAGTCCCCAGGCAGGGATCCTGGAGTGGGTTGCCTTTCCCTTCTCCAGGGGATCTTCCCGACCCAGGGGTCGAACCCACGTCTCCTGCACAGGCAGGCCGATTCTTTACCGTCTGAGACACCAGAGAAGCCCCTCAGTCAGGAGACAAATGTCTAATTGGTAACTGGTGGTCCTGGAAAGGAAGGAGCTTGGGTGTCGCTTCCTGGCCCAATCATCGTTATATTTTAGTTCAGAGACACACCATAGCTCATCAGCTCAGCCAAACAACACATACTCTGCCTCCCTCGCAGGAAGCAATTGAACTTCTTGGAAATGACTCAACGTTGACCTCTGTTCCGAAGACATGAGTTTTCAAATCATGAAAATATTTCACGCCAGCCAGCTCCCTTCCAGACCCCACTCTTTCGTGTTCTTCTTCCTCAGCTGTCCCCTTAGCTTTCTGGGGCGAAATCCCCGCCTCCTCTTTTGCTTCCTGATGGAATGGGGGCCTGCTTGGGTCCTGGCGGCAACAAAACGCGGGGTGGGGGGGGGGGGGGGGCTTGTGTGCACATGGGGCAGGTTTTTATACACAAAAGCCATCTGGTTCTGGATATGCTTGGCTAAACCGAATTACACAATGCGCGGCAGTGTGGCTGGGTCAGTGAGAAGAATTTCACTTCTGTTCCTTTGTGTTCACACACGCACCAGCATATGCACATATATTCAAAGAAAGCGTTTGCATTGTTTCTAAAGGCAGCCGGTGAGAGTCGAAACATCATGCAAATGAATCTTAGCTGCGGGAAGCCCCGCCGTCTTCTTCAGCCCCGCCTGGGTAGACTTTCTGGAGGAGCGCCCACCCACCGCTGGCGTCTCGCAGGAGGGAGCTGAGTCTGCTTCCAGAGCAGAGGGAATCCATCGAAGTGGACTAAGCTGAGATACAGCCCTGCTTTCCTCAGGGACCCGTTACGTCGTAGGGTGGGGAAGGGGTGTTAGATTGTTCTATCTGTGTATGTGTGTGTGTGTACGTGTGTACATGTGTGTGTGTGTGTGTGTGTGTGTGTGTATGTCTCCAAAAATTGGTCACAGAGAATGAATATATTCAGGGTTCTGGAGTTCAGTGACCACATTTTCCTCCATTATCAGACCGTCCCGTGAAAAACATCAGTTATATCTAGCCGCAGTTTTTTCCAATCTTTTTCTCTTATGAACATCTCCACATGGAGTTTTACAGAAAAATTGACATGTGTTGGTTCAGTCATTACATCATGTCTGGCTCTTTGGGACTCCATGACTGCACCATGCCAGGCTCCCCTGTCTTTCACCATCTCCTGCTCAATCAAATTTCATGTCCATTGAGTCAGTGATGGTGATGGCAGCCATGAAATTAAAACACGCTTGCTCCTGGGAAGAAAAATTATGACCAAACTAGACAGCATATTAAAAAGCAGAGATATGACTTTGCCAACAAAGGTCGGTCTAGTCAAGGCTATGGTTTTCCCACTAATCATGTATGGATGTGAGAGTTGGACTATGAAGAAAGCTAGCACTGAAGAATTGATGCTTTTGAACTGTGGTATGGGAGAAGACTCTTGAGAGTCCCTTGGACAGCAAGGAGATCAAACCAATCCGTCCTAAAGGAATAGTCCTGAATAGTCTTTGGAAGGACTGATGTTGAAGCTGAAACTCCAATACTTTGGTCACCTGATGCAAAGAACTGACTCATTGGAAAAGACCCTGATGCTGGGAAAGACTGAAGGTGGGAGGAGAAGGGGACGACAGAGGATTAGATGGTTGTATGGCATCACCGACTCAATGGACATGAGTTTGAGTAAACTCCAGGGGTTGGTGTTGGACAGGGAGGCCTGGCGTGCTGCAGTTCATGGGGTCGCAAAGAGTCAGACATGACTGAGTGAATGAACTGAACTGAGTCGGTGATGCCATCCAACCATGTCATCCTCTGTCGTCCCCTTCTCCTCCTGCCCTCAGTCTTTCCCAGCATCAGAGTCTTTTCCAGTGAGTCAGCTCTTCTCATCAGGTTATCACAGTATTGGAGCTTCAGCTTCAGCATCAGTCCTTCCAGTGAATATTCAGGGTTGATTTACTTTCATCCTAATATCTCTGTTAATACCTCAGCATTTTCTCATGCCATGAAATCTGCTGCAAAATATGCCTTTAGAGTACTTCCCTGGCAGGCCAGTGGTTAAGACGTGGCGCTTTCACTGACTGGGGCCAGGTTCAGTCCCTGGTCAGGAACTAAGGTCTCATGAGCACCATGGCATGACCAGAAAGAAGAAAAGAAAAAAACAAGAAAAGAAAATTTTTAGAGAGAAGAAGAACTTGACTCTTTATTTCTCCCCCTTCCCTTTGAAATTTCATCATCTTATTTTATTATGGCAGGGACACTTAAGCTCAGCCCTCTTAACACATTTTTGAAGCTTTTTATTTTGTATTGGGGGTACAGGTGATTAATAACCGTGTTGTGATAGTTTCCGGTGAACAGCAAAGGGACTTGGCCATATATGTATGTACATATATCCATTCACCCCTGACCTTCCCTCCCATCCAGGGCGCCACACAGCATTGAGCAGAGTTCCAGTTTTTTAATTAATTAAATTTTTCCTTAGCGTGGCCCTCCTGCTTTATCTTTTTAAAAACCTTTTCATTGGGGTGCAGTTGCTGTAGGCTGTTGCGTTGGCTCCGGCTGTCCATCGGCGCGAACGGGTCTGCCGACGTGCATCTCCTCCCCCTGAGCCGCCCACCCCGCTGGGGCACCCCAGCCCTGGCTGAGCTCCCCGTGAGGCTGGGCAGCTTCCCACCCACTGTGTGTGGATGTGGATGTGTATACACACAGCGGTGTGTGTGTCCCTGTCTGCGTCACACATGGTGCTGCGTGTGTCACACACGGGGGTGTGTGTGTGTCCCTGTCTGCGTCACACATGGTGCTGCGTGTGTCACACACGGGCATGTGTGTGTGTGTCCCTGTCTGCGTCACACATGGTGCTGCGTGTGTCACACACGGGCATGTGTGTGTGTCCCTGTCTGCGTCACACATGGTGCTGCGTGTGTCACACACGGGTGTGTGTGTGTCCCTGTCTGCGTCACACATGGTGCTGCGTGTGTCACACACGGGCATGTGTGTGTGTCCCTGTCTGCGTCACACATGGTGCTGCGTGTGTCACACACGGGCATGTGTGTGTGTGTCCCTGTCTGCGTCACACATGGTGCTGCGTGTGTCACACACGGGCATGTGTGTGTGTGTCCCTGTCTGCGTCACACATGGTGCTGCGTGTGTCACACACGGGCATGTGTGTGTGTGTCCCTGTCTGCATCACACATGGTGCTGGTGTGTGTCACACACGGGTGTGTGTGTGTGTCCCTGTCTGCATCACACATGGTGCTGGTGTGTGTCACACACGGGTGTGTGTGTCCCTGTCTGCATCACACATGGTGCTGCGTGTGTCACACACGGGCATGTGTGTGTGTGTCCCTGTCTGCATCACACATGGTGCTGCGTGTGTCACACACGGGTGTGTGTGTGTGTCCCTGTCTGCATCACACATGGTGCTGCGTGTGTCACACACGGGTGTGTGTGTGTCCCTGTCTGCGTCACACATGGTGCTGCGTGTGTCACACACGGGCATGTGTGTGTGTCCCTGTCTGCGTCACACATGGTGCTGGTGTGTGTCACACACGGGTGTGTGTGTGTGTCCCTGTCTGCATCACACATGGTGCTGGTGTGTGTCACACACGGGTGTGTGTGTCCCTGTCTGCATCACACATGGTGCTGCGTGTGTCACACACGGGTGTGTGTGTGTCCCTGTCTGCATCACACATGGTGCTGCGTGTGTCACACACGGGCATGTGTGTGTGTGTCCCTGTCTGCATCACACATGGTGCTGCGTGTGTCACACACGGGTGTGTGTGTGTGTCCCTGTCTGCATCACACATGGTGCTGGTGTGTGTCACACACGGGTGTGTGTGTGTCCCTGTCTGCGTCACACATGGTGCTGCGTGTGTCACACACGGGCATGTGTGTGTGTGTCCCTGTCTGCGTCACACATGGTGCTGCGTGTGTCACACACGGGCATGTGTGTGTGTCCCTGTCTGCGTCACACATGGTGCTGCGTGTGTCACACACGGGCATGTGTGTGTGTGTCCCTGTCTGCGTCACACATGGTGCTGCGTGTGTCACACACGGGCGTGTGTGTGTGTGTCCCTGTCTGCGTCACACATGGTGCTGCGTGTGTCACACACGGGCATGTGTGTGTGTGTCCCTGTCTGCGTCACACATGGTGCTGCGTGTGTCACACACGGGCATGTGTGTGTGTGTCCCTGTCTGCATCACACATGGTGCTGGTGTGTGTCACACACGGGCATGTGTGTGTGTCCCTGTCTGCGTCACACATGGTGCTGCGTGTGTCACACACGGGCATGTGTGTGTGTCCCTGTCTGCGTCACACATGGTGCTGCGTGTGTCACACACGAGGGTGTGTGTGTGTCCCTGTCTGCATCACACATGGTGCTGCGTGTGTCACACACGGGGGGGTGTGTGTGTTCCTGTCTGCATCACACATGGTGCTGCGTGTGTCACACACGGGGGGGTGTGTGTGTTCCTGTCTGCATCACACATGGTGCTGCGTGTGTCACACACGGGCATGTGTGTGTGTGTCCCTGTCTGCGTCACACATGGTGCTGCGTGTGTCACACACGGGCATGTGTGTGTGTGTCCCTGTCTGCGTCACACATGGTGCTGCGTGTGTCACACACGGGTGTGTGTGTGTCCCTGTCTGCGTCACACATGGTGCTGCGTGTGTCACACACGGGCATGTGTGTGTGTCCCTGTCTGCGTCACACATGGTGCTGCGTGTGTCACACACGGGCATGTGTGTGTGTGTCCCTGTCTGCGTCACACATGGTGCTGCGTGTGTCACACACGGGCATGTGTGTGTGTCCCTGTCTGCATCACACATGGTGCTGGTGTGTGTCACACACGGGTGTGTGTGTGTCCCTGTCTGCGTCACACATGGTGCTGCGTGTGTCACACACGGGCATGTGTGTGTGTGTCCCTGTCTGCGTCACACATGGTGCTGCGTGTGTCACACACGGGCATGTGTGTGTGTCCCTGTCTGCGTCACACATGGTGCTGCGTGTGTCACACACGGGCATGTGTGTGTGTGTCCCTGTCTGCGTCACACATGGTGCTGCGTGTGTCACACACGGGCGTGTGTGTGTGTGTCCCTGTCTGCGTCACACATGGTGCTGCATGTGTCACACACGGGCGTGTGTGTGTGTCCCTGTCTGCGTCACACATGGTGCTGCGTGTGTCACACACGGGCATGTGTGTGTGTGTCCCTGTCTGCATCACACATGGTGCTGCGTGTGTCACACACGGGGGGGTGTGTGTGTCCCTGTCTGCATCACACATGGTGCTGCGTGTGTCACACACGGGTGTGTGTGTGTCCCTGTCTGCGTCACACATGGTGCTGGTGTGTGTCACACACGGGCATGTGTGTGTGTGTCCCTGTCTGCGTCACACATGGTGCTGGTGTGTGTCACACACGGGTGTGTGTGTGTGTCCCTGTCTGCATCACACATGGTGCTGCGTGTGTCACACACGGGCATGTGTGTGTGTGTCCCTGTCTGCGTCACACATGGTGCCGGTGTGTGTCAGCGCTACTGTTCCAGCGTGTCCCACCCTCTCCTTCCCTGGCTGTGACCACAGATCGGTTCTCTGTGTCTGCATAAACACACGTTTTAGTGCATGATGCGGTGTTGCTGGCTGCAGGTGCACTGGGGCACAGATGAAGCCCAGCGATCATGCATCCTGCTCAGCGGAGACGGACAGCATCCATTCACTGGACTCAGCCTCCTGGTCGGGGTATTTCACAGACCCAGCTGCTGCCTGTGTCTCTTGAAAACAAGGCTGCTGAAATCCCCGTTGTATAGCCGCCGCTGGCACATTTTGTGGGTTTCTGTTGAGGATAAATTCCTAGACATGGAACTGAAGCACGGGTCAAAGAGATGAAATTGTGTACAAACTCCCAGCCTATCCCTGGGGTTGGCAGATGTGTTTAGGATGGATGAACAACAAGAGAGGTCCTACCGCGTAGCAGAAGGACTATATCTAGTCTCCTGGGATCAACCATCTCAGAAAAGAATACTCCAGTAACAATTAATTTAAAAAGTAAGATAGGCAACCAACAAGGACCTACTGCGCAGCACAGGAAACTGTACCCAATACTCTGTAATAACCTAAAAGAGAAAAGAACTTCTGAAAGAATAAATTCATGTATATGTATAACTGAGTCACTTTGGTGCACGCTTGAAACTAGCACATTGTTAATCAACTACTCCGATATAAAATAAAAAATTTTTTAAGTAAACAACAATTTATAGATAAAAACTTAAAAAGAAAAAGAGTAAAAAAATGTATATATGTGTATGACAGAGTCACTTGTTGTACAAGAGATGGGCACAACACTCTAAATCAACCATACTTCAATTAAAGGTAAATAAAACATTTTTAAACTTTTCACGGTAAAATATCTGAATTGTACAGGAGCAGGCAGAGTGCAGTGAACACCTACCTATCTGCCCAACACTTTGCTTAAACCCCTGTGAACCTGTGCCTGTATATATTTTAGCCGTGTATATGTGTCTGTTTCAAAGTTCATTACTTTACATCTCACCATGGCAGCATCTCCTAAATACTTTAGAGAGTAAGAGCAGCCTTCTGTGTGGCCCCCCAACACCGCCTCTCCACCTAGGACATTATGAGATGCCCTCTGCGGGGCTTCCCTGGTGCTAAAGAATCCGCCCGCCCACGCAGGAGTCCGGGCCAGGAAGAGCCCAGCTGCACAGGGCAGCTGAGCCACGAGCCGCAGCTGCCGAGACCGCGCTCTCAGAACCCGGGAGGCGCAAGCGCCGGGCCCCACCCTGGAGCCTGCGCTCCACAACGAGAGGTCACCGGAGCGAGACGCCCACACTCTGCACCTAGAGAAGGCCTGCCCACAGCCACGAAGACCCCCACAGCCGGAAGTACGCACGTAGATAAAATGCTTTTAAAAGAGAAATGCCCTATATGAACGAATGACATGAACACACAGAATATTCCAGTCCATCATTTAGAAGAGGACTTGTGTAGAGGCTGGCTTTTTACTGAAAGATTTTAGCTTGAGGTGATCACAGATTCACTAGCACTGCACTCTCTTTTTTAATTTTTATTTTATATTGGAGCATAGTTGATTACCAAGTGGCGCTAGGGTAAAGAACCTGCCTGCCAATATAGGAGACATAAGAAACGCAGGTCTGATCCCTGGGTCGGGAAAGATGCCCTGGAGGAAGGCATGGCAACCCGCTCCAGTATTCTTTTCTGGAGACTCCCATGGTCAGAGGAGCCCCGGGGGCTGTGGTCCACGGGGTCGCAGAGAGTCAGACACGACTGAAGTGACTGAGCACGCAGGCATCGTGGATTAACAATGCTGTGTGAGTTTCAGGTGTACAACATGAGGATTCAGTTGTACATATGCATGTATCAATTCTTTTTCAAATTTTTCAAGTTGCTTGCTCCTTGGAAGAAAAGCTATGACAAACCTAGACAGTGTATGAAAAAGCAGAGACATAACTTTGCCGACAAAGGTGCATGTAGTCAGAGCTATGGTTTTTCCAGTAGTCATGTATGAATGTGAGAGTTGGACTATAAAGAAGGCTGAGCACCAAAGAATTCATGCTTTCAAACTGTGGTGCTGGAGAAGACTCTTGAGAGTCTCCTGGACAGCAAGGAGATCAAACCAATCAACTCTAAAGGACATCAACCCTGAATATTCATTGGAAGGACTGATGCTGAAGCTGAAGCTCTAAGACTTTGGCCCCCTGATTCGAAGAGCTGGCTCATTGGAAAAGACCCTGATGCTGGGAAAGATTGAGGGCAGGAGGAGAAGGGGGCGACAGAGGATGAGGCAGTTGGATGGCATCACCAACTCAGTAGACACAAGTTTGAGCAAGCTCTGGGAGATGGTGAAGGACAGAGGAGCCTGGCATTCTGCAGTGCATGCGGTCACAATCAGCTGGACATGACTTAGCTACTAAACAACAACAACATGTAATGTATCAATACGGCACCAGGAAGCACCACAGTGTAACCCAACGACCTCAGCTGACAGTGACTTGTCACTCTGTTCATTGACTGAAACAAGCGTCCCACCCTTGGGTGGGGGAGGGGGTGTCAGTAATGGGCTTTTCTGTACATGGGGCCAGGGGTGTGGGAAATCGTCATGCTTTCTGCTCAACTCTTCTGTGAACCTACGCTGCTGTAAAAAAATCTACTAGGAAAAAACAACAACAACTGGGTATGTTCGTGTGTGGCACGGTTTTCTAACCCAGCTTTCCCTACAGGCTGTAAGCGTGAGTGTCTGCCCCAGGTCTGACTCACAGTTATTCCTCAGTGACCCGTTTTCTTTTAGATTCTTTCTATCATCTGGTACTCTAAAGTTGTGGTTCTCAAAGTGTGTTCCTTAGGCCAGCCGAGAACTTGTTAGAGACGCACGTTCTTTGACCTTATCCCAGACCTGTTGATTCAGAAATTATGGGGGTGGGAGCCACCACTCTGACCACAAACTGGCCCCTCGAGGGGTTCCCATGACCCTCGGGTTTGAGAAATGCTGGCCTAGAGATAGCCTCTCTTCAGCGGGTTCCTCGTGTGAGCCATACAGCTCTGACAGTGGTGTTACAGCCTCTGTTTCTCAACTGCCCCAAGGATGCTGTTTTCCTAAAACCATTCTAGGTGCAGAGGAGAAAAGCCTGTTCATTGACTTCATCCAGTGGTTAGGAAATCAGAGGCTCATGTTGATGTGTTGCAGAAACCAACACAATATTGTACAGCAATTATCCTTCCATTAAAAATAGATAAATTTAAAAAAAAAAAAAAAAGAAACTCAGAGAAGCGAAGAAAGTAAAGGATAGCTTCATACAAAAAGAGATCAGGGACTTTTCCCTGGTGGTCCAATGGTTAAGACTACCCACTCCCTCTGTAGGAAGCCTGGGTTCAAACCCTAGTCAGGGAACTAGAGCCTGTGTGTCACAACTAAGAGCTCACAGGCCCCAGCTGAGACCCAGGACAGCCAAATAAATAAGTAAATAAGTGATAACTTTGAAAAACTTTATTTAAAAAAAAGGAAGGGAGGGGATATATGTATACTTATGGCTGATTCATATTGAGGTTTGACAGAAAACAGCAAAATTCAATTATCCTTCAATAAAAAACTAAATTAATGTTTAAAAAAAAAAAGGAAAAAGAGATCAGATCCATGGTTACCAGAGGTGGGAAGTGGAGAGGGAGGATTGGATGAAGGTGGTCAAAAAGTACAAACTTCAGATTGTGAGATAAATCAGTACTAGGGGTGTGATGTACAATGTGATCAATATTGTTAACACTGCTGTGTGTTATGTGTGAATGTTAAGAGGAGTGAATCCTGGGAACTCCCTGGCAATCCAGTGGCTGGGATTCTGTGTCTTCACTGCCAAGGACATGGGTTCAATCCCAAGTCGGGGAACTGAGATCCCACAAGCCAGCCGGCATGGCCAAACAGATAAATAGATAGACTTCACTTTAAAAAAGAAACGTAAATCCTAAATGTTCTCATCACAAGGAAAAAGCTTTCTTTTTCTTTTTTCTGTCCTGCAGCTAATGAGACAATGGAAATTCACTAAACTTTCTGTGATCATCGCTTGGCGATGTCTGTGAGTCAAACCGTGATGCTGTGTGCCTTACACCTACGTGCTGGATGTCAGAGAGATCTCAGTGAAACTGGAAGGAAAAAAAATAAAGAAAAGGAGAGCCCTCCATGAAATAAGTGGAGACATGGCCTAGGAGAAGACTCCTTCCGTTGTCCACAAAGACGTGGGTTTTGACATCTGTAGACGTGGAATTCCATCCAGTCACACATATGGTGTGGAACGCAGTGGAATTCAAGGGAGAGGCCTGGGCTGGGGTGGAGACATGGGAACTTTAGGCTGAGCAGAGCCGGGGAGAGGATGACGTGGTGTGGGGAGAGGAGAGAGAGAGGGAATAAAATAAATGTTCATTACAATTTTTAAATGAAAAAAAGGTTATTAATAATCACCTCCTTCACATGAATTTTGGAGGATGCAGCTCCATCCATAACGGAAGGTCTGGGATGGGGGCCTGAGATCCTGCGTTTCTACAAAGCCCCCCAGGGGACGCCCGTGCTGCTGGTCTGCGGACCACGCCAAGCAGTGAGGCCCGTAGAGGTGAGCTCGGCGGGGTCGCTCAGTCGTGTCCGACTCTTGGCGACCCCGTGGACTGTAGCCCGCCAGGCTCCTCTGTCCATGGGATTTCTCCAGCAAGGATACTGAACTAGATTGCCATTTCCTCCTCCAGGGAGAAGTTACTTTCTCCCCGAATCTTTTGTGACCCCATGGACTGTAGTTCAGCAGATTCCTCTGTCCATGGAGTTCTTAAGGCAAGAATACTAGAATGGGTGGCCAGTCCCTTCTCCAGGGGGATCTTCCTGACCCAGGAATCGAACCCAGGTCTCCTGTATTGCAGGCAGATTCTCTACTGCTGAACCACTGGTTTAAGGCCAGTCATTCTGGAAACGTCAGCTGTGGCCCATTTGAAGCATCCCGTGGGAGCAGGTTAGAAATGCAAGTTCGCAGGCCCACCCAGATTTAACGGCGTGGAAACTCCAGGGCATTCATGCATGGTTCAGCCACGTGTCTCTCATCCACACCGTTCACTTCCCGCCTTCACCTCAGCGATGTCCGATTGCCCAGGTCACCACATTCTCTACGTGGGTGGCGTCTCCAGCCATGGAGGAGCTGGAAACGAGGATGCAGAGACCTGGTTTCCTGTGAAGTCAATTCTGAGCGTGGGACCGCGGCACGCACGCCTGCTGGGGCTCGGTGGGCCCCAGCCCGTCCCGGAAGGCCTCAGCTCTCCGCACTGGGGTGTTTCACTGTCTGTCTGCAGCAGGTGAGAGGCTCAGGCTGTTGCTGTGGAAACAGCCCCAGGTAGGGGTGGGGGGCTGAGGAAGAAGCTTCAGAGACTGGAGTTTTCCGAGCCCCGCCGAAACAGATCTGTGCAGGCTCAGAGCAGCATCTGGGCACGCTGTGGGGCATCGTCTGCAGGTGTTTGAGCAAGCCACCAGCCCAGCTCCTGCCGTGAGCCTGTCTGTCTGCATGTCACAGAGAAGCTCCTGGGCGAGAGCAGCACTGGAGTCTTGGGATGGCTCCTTTAGTCCTCCCGGTTATGACAGCTCATCTGTGGGCGACGGAGACGGCAAGGGGGAGAGGGAGGGTGGCTCGCTCAGACGGTGGTGCGCGCTCAGTCCCTTCAGGCATGTCCGGCTCTCTGCCACCCCAGGGACTGTAGCCCCCCAGGCTGCTCTGTCCATGGGGTTCTCCAGGCAAGGACACTGGAACACGTTGCCATTCCCTTCCCCTCCCCCGTCTCTCACGTCTCCTGCATTGGCAGGCCTGGGAAGCCCCAGATGATGGCAGAGCAGTGAGGAAAATTAAACCAAGCCGGGACGCAACAGTAACCACCTGTGGGCGTCAACCCGTGGGGCCCTGGGGGTGAGGTCTGTGACCCCGCCTCAGCCTACAGCTTGCTGCCTTTGGTTGGCATCCTGTTCTTGAGACTTGTCCCTGTCGACTTGGGTGGCCTTGGCTGTATATGGTAATCGCCTTGTGACCACATCATCATGCATTTATTCCTCCTCCTCGTGGTGGGCACCGGGGCTGCTCTGCATCCTGATTTTTGAGTTGTTTACCTTTGGTATCGCAGTCCCTGCAAATATCTCACACAGTACCCAGTGCAGGTATTTACTGAATGAATGGAGGTTGCGGGGAACATCCTGTGGCTGCGTTTTCCACGCGCTGCAGAATTTCTCCAGCTCAGATAGGCACAGAGGGAAGCGAATTCTGGTTTTAGATGGTGCTGGATTTCCTGAGGCTGTGTTTTCTTCATTTTCTCTTGGCAGCTCCATATGCAAGGACCTGCCTTGTGTTCATCCTTCAAAACGTTCCCAGCATCTGGCGCAAAGTGTCATAGAGCCTCGGTCTGCGTATCTCAGATGTGGGTGAGTACGTGAATGGATGCATTTTTTTTCCCCTCAAAATTGGCCCTGAGCCGTCTGCTCGTATGTTTATCCTGCCTTCTCACTGAACGTGCTATGACATCTGATGTGCCTCAAGAGACAAGAGCTTTTAGGAGGGAAGAGCTCATTTCACGCGATGATCGTGTGCATGTGTTGTATACACTTGTCGCCAATTTCTTGCCGTCCCAAAGAGGTGATAACCGCTCTGTAGATTTCTGAATATTCGTGAATGTTCATAGACTTTAGAGTCCCAGAAATGGACTTGCTAGATCAAAGCACACACACTTATGTACTTATAAATGTATTTTTAATTGAAGGATACTTGCTTTGCAATATTGTGTTGGTTCCTGCCATACATCCACATGAATCAGCTGAAGGTTTACATGTGTCCCCTCCCCGTGAACCTCCCTCCCGCCTCCCACCCCATCCCACCCTCTAGGTCGTCCCAGAGCACAGGGTTTGAGCTCCCTGCGTCACATAGCAGATTTCCACCAGCTGTCTAATTTTACACATGGTAATGTCGATGTTTCAATAATGCTCTCTCAATGCATACCACCGTCTCCTTCCCCACCTGCCATGTCCCCAAGTCTGTTCTCTACATCTATATCTCCATTGCTGCCCTACAGGTAGGTTCATCGGTACCATCTTTCTAGACTCCATATATAGCGCTAATACGTGACATTTGTCTTTCTCTGTCTTTCTGACTTACTTCACTCTCTATAACAGGCTCTAAGCTCATCCACCTCATCAGAACTGAGTCAGAAACATTCCTTTTTATGGCTGAGTAATATTCCACTCATGTGTTTATGTGCCACAACTTCTTTACCCACTCATCTGTCATCGGACATCTAGGTTGCTTCCACGTCCTAGCTGCTGTAAATAGAAAGCACACACACATTTTAGGATACAGTACCTATGGCCAAATACACGCTCGACCACCAGCATTTGAGAATGTCCATTTCCTGGGAACCTTCCTGACTTTTTTCCTCAACTTTGCCACTTCGAAATATCACCTTCCCCAAGCCCTTTTGCACCGGATGTCTGTTTTGATATTAGACCTGTGATGGCGTGTCTTTGTTGTGGTTATCACACACGCGAACACCCTCCTGTAAATAGTCGATTCACATCCTTTGCGCATTCTTCTACTTTTGGTGTTCAGCTTTCTCTCTGCGTGACTCTTCACGTACTTGTAAAATAAAGCCCTGTACCGTCACCTGTGTTTCTACATATTTGCCCTGGGGTGGCCATTTCAGTCGTAGGTCCAGTGGAAGTTCCCCTCTTACATACATTTTTCAATGCTAGTGGTGTCAGCTTTGCAGGTTTGTTCCTATTTTGTGCTCATTGACTTTTGGCCATGTTTAGTAAACCCGCCTTCATCCTCTTGCTTCAAAAATATTCTCTTCTATTTTCTTGCCATGACTATGAATCGAAAGCCAGGAGTCCTGTCCTCTGCTCCAAACACTGCTTTTCCTACCCAGACAGAACTCTCAGGCCAGACTGCTCAGGAGAATCGCCACGGGGCACTCGTGGCTGATAAGCATTTCAGACATGGCTGGGCTGAATTAAGATGTGCCACATGGTGGGTTTCAAAGACTTGGTATGAATGTGCGTGTTCAGTCGTGTGTGAGACTCTTTGCGACCCCCCCCCCCATGGACTGCAGCACGCCAGGCTCCTCTGTCTATAGAATTTTCCAGACAGGAATACTGGAGTGGGTTGCCATTTCCTTCTCCACTCGGTATGAGTAAAAGGATGTAAAATGTCTCATCAACAACTTTTACATCAACAACGTGTTGAAACAGTAGAATTTCTGATGTATTGGGCTACACACAATGTATTAGTAAAATCAATTCCACCTCATTTTTTTTTTTTTTTTTTTGGTGAATTAGGTTTTATTTATGTGGACTGGGAGAAACAGGTCTGACTTTAATTTAGTGTTGTTATTCAGTCACTAACTCGTGTCTAACTCTGCGACCGCGGGGACTACAGTTCACCAGGCCTCCCTGTCCTCCACCATCTCCCAGAGTTTACTCAGACTCACGGCCATTGAGTCAGTGATGCCCTCCAACCATCTGAACCTCTGTCGTCCCCTTCTCTTGCCCTCAGTCTTTCCCAGCATCAGGGTCTTTTCCAGGGACTCGCCTCTTCAGCTCAGGTGGCCAACGCACTGGAGCTTCAGCTTCTGCCTCAGTCTTTCCCATACCCCAAAGTAAGAGACTCTGGCTTGTGATAAAAGTCCTCAGCATGCTGTGCTCCACAGTGAGAGTATCTTGCGAAAGCTGTCAAATATGAATTAGAACGGCAGATGTAGACACTTTCATATCAGCTGAGACCTTTTTTGTATGTCTGAAGGCCGTGCCAGAAGCTGAGCCAGGTCCTTAATGCTTTTTTAAAAATTGATTTTTATTGAGGTCTAGTTGCTTTGCGGCGTTGTGCTCGTTTCTGCCGTCCAGCAAAGAGAGCTCAGCCACACGTGTCCATGCACCCCCTCCTCTCCGGACGTCCTTCCCACTGAGGTCACTGCAGAGCGCTGGGGAGAGTCCCCCAAGCCCTGCGTCGGTCCTTGTCAGTCACCTGTTTTACACGCAGCGTCCGTCGTGGACATGTGTCCATCCAGCCTCCCAGCTCATCCCGCCTCCCTGCTGTCTGTGCACTTGCTCTCTACGTCTGGGGCTCTTATTTCTGCTCTGCAGATGAGTTCATCCGTACCACTTTTCTCGACTCCACATGTAAGCGATGATCGTATGATGTTTGTCTTTCCTCGGTCTGACTGGCTCCACCCTGTATGACAGCCACTCGGTCCATCCGTGTCTCTTCTGATGGCACTGTTGAGTTCCCTTTTGTGACTGAGTAACCCCACCTCCTTCAAAACAGGTAATAGAAAATAAAGGTGGTGTGCCACCTCGGCTAACAGAAAACTCAGTTTCAAGGTGGTGCGCATCGCGATCTGGCAGCATCGCTCCAGGGCCCTCAAGACAGCGTCATATGCGAGACAGCAAAGGAGACGCAGATGTAAACGGCAGACTGTTGGACACTGTGGGAGAAGGCGAGGGTGGGATGGTTTGAGAGGAGGGCATTGAAACGTGTATATTACCATATGTGAAATAGGTGACCAGTGCAAGTTTGATGCATGAAGCTGGGCACTCAAGGCGGGTGCTCTGGGACATCTCAGACGGATGGGATGGGGAGGGAGTGGGGGGGGGGCGTTCAGGATGGGTTGCGCATGTGTACCCACAGATGATGCATGTTGATGTGTCGCAAAAACCATCACAATACTGTAAAGTAATTAGCCTCCAAAAAAAAAAGACAGCATCTGTAGTCACAGGAAGGATCTGGGCCCAATTGAAACAAATCAAAGAGGTTCAGACGGCAGAAGCCATTCTGACTGGAGACTCTCAGTCCACCAGAAGTGGTCTGAACGTCAACATCAGGCCCCGCTGCCAGATAAAACCCCAGTTCAACGACCCACCATGGAATTTTTTCCCTGATTAATGAGCTGGATGCTGGACTGGAATCCGAGCAATATATACATTGCCATCCAACCCGGGGAGGGACCGACTTTCTCAGAAAGAGCACAACCCAGCCAGTGTTCTGGAAACCTCTTTCCAGACCATAAAAAGACGAAATGCCAGCCATCCGTTTTGTGGAGTGCGTCCCTTCACTGACTTCCTTCCCCCCACCCTCTTCATTTTCTGGGGGTGAGTGTCCTGCCCTCTCGGGTCCCGCTTCCCGGCTCGAGGGTCTCTTGGGGGGTCCCACTGTGTAGATAACAGTTGCGTGTGGATAGCTCACCTTGTGGTGCCTGATGCCAGCCTACCCCCAGCTGAAGGGAACTCTGTCGTGCTTTCAGAGCAGAGCTGGACACGTAGGAATTCACCTTGGTATGTTTTCATAACAGCTTTACTGAGATGTCCTTCACAGACTCTACAGTTCATCCAGAGTATTCACAGAGTCACATAGTCACCACCACCATGCATGTTATTTTATTTATTTACTTTTGTTTATCTGGCCGTGCAGGGGCTTAGCCGCGGCCTGTGGGAACGTCAGTTGCTGCGCTGGCATCTCGTCCCCAACCAGGGGTCAAACCCAGGCCTCCTGCACCAGGAGCTCAGAGTCAGCCCCGTGACCACCAGGGAAGTCCGGTCACAGTGAGTTTTAGGACGTTCTCTCCAGAAAGAAACCCTGGGCTCGTTGGTGGTCGCTGTCCCTTTCTTTCAGCTCCCCTGGGCCCTAGGCAGCACACTGACCTACCTTCTGTCTCTGTAGGTTTCCTGTCCTGAGTCACACACAGCCTTTGGTGGTCAGCTTCTTTTACTTATCTTAATTTTTCAAGTTCATCTATGTTGTAACATGTTATTACCTGTAACATGGGATTTTTCCAGGCAAGAATACTGGAGTGGGTTGCCATTTCTTTCTCCAGGGGATCTTTCCGACCCAGGGATCAAACCTGCGTCTCCCACATTGCAGGTGGATTCTTTTCCAATGAGCCACCAGAGAAGCCCCAATTCTAATATGTCTCAGCACTTAATTTCTCTTTATGGGTAAATATATTTCACTGTATGGATAGACCATGCTTTATTTGTCTGCTCATAAGTTGATGGACATCTCAGTTTTTTCACTTTTTGGCTATTATGGACAATGCTGCTATGAAAATTTAGGTACAAGTTTTTGTAAAAAGTTAGGTTTCATTTCTTTAGGAGTGGAGACCCTGGATCATACAGTAATCCCATCATAACCTTTCAAGGGGCTGCCACTGTTGTCCAGAACGCCTGCACTGTTTTACATCCCCAGCAGCATTTACGAGGATTCCAATTTCTCTACATCCTTACCAATACCTGCTTAAAGCCGTCTTTTTTGCCACAAAGCACAGCTTGCTGGACCTTAGTTCCCCCAGGGGTGGAGCCTATGCCCCCTGCCGTGGGAGCACAGATTCCTAACCCCTGGGCCACCAAGGAGTTCCCTCAGTCCAGTTCAGTCGCTCAGT